CTCAAAGCTGGTTTTGATATGAGCCGATAATATTTCAATTCTGCGTTACATGAAGTTGCCAACTCAGATCAACTGGTTAAAGGGACGCAGTCACGATCACTGCAACGCCACGGCGGCACTACCTAACCAATCGACTTGGTAGTGTTGATAGTGTTTCATAAGTACCTAGCTACTTCACGTTCGTGAGAAACCCGAGTTGAGCATGACCATAGCAGTCAGTTGAAACAAAACAAGTGTCGTTGGTATATATATGAACATATCAAGGCTGCCCCCAACAAAGAGATTCCCCGTGCACCGAGCCATGGTTGATTGAAAATGTATGACTCCCCAAGCAGATATACTGAAAGATTCACGCTACCCACTCCGTACAATGCCCTGCGATACCAGCTTGCTAGATACAATGCACGTGTGCCGAAAGGCGACCGAGAACAACTTTCCACCTACCCTAGCAAAGTGCTATGGCCAAAAAATCATAACATTTGCGCTAGAAAGCAAAAGGCGGCCGTTAAAAGGGGTGTGTGCTTAGATGGGTATTTGAGAGCTCCCAATATTGGGGCGCTCACAGGACACAAGCAACACTTTACCTGCACAAAGTGGGAAACATGAGACGATACCATGATTGAATTCGTCCCCTGGTCTCCTTGACCGTTTCGAGAACACGTTGTGAAAATAGACGGAGAAACAGGGTACTCGACGGGATACCCGGATAGGCAAGACGAGCTTTGTTAGTAGCCACACGTCGAGATGTGGTGGGCTCAGCGCATGCCCTTGCGGCGGAAGAAGACCAAATATGGGACTTTATCTCGACCAGACTTAAAAACGTCTTCCTGAACATCATCACGATCTCCACTTCCGATGCGAACCTTTGACACACGGGTATCGTTACAGCAGTACCAAGCAAACGGATCGTGAGATGTGTAGTCGCGCACATATGCCAAATAATGCCCGTTATTAATTTGACTGCCGGTGTGAATAATGACTGCATAAGCCTCGTAGCGGAAGGGTCCTGTGAAGGCTGGGTCCATGGGATCGGTGCCGGATGAAGACTCGCGAGCACCTCGAGGCAGGAAGTAGCGGGTGAAGTCAGTGTCGTTGAAGTCCCATGTGATAGGCGCAGTAGATTTGCGCGTATCTCTTGTGGCTGGTTGATAGTTGAAGCGGCGAAATGCGACGCAGAGTAGGGTGGGAAAGCGAGCAAATGAGAGACTCTGTTGAGCCTGAGTAGGGCGGCAGCAACGGGCGCAAGCAAAGTCGTCAATAGGACTACTTGAGGCGTACTCATCGAAAGCCTGCTCAAGAGTCATACCACGGCCCATGCCTACCGTGACGGTGATGAGGTCGAAGGTGGTATACATGTAAGTACGTGTGCTGCATTCGAGGCACTCAACAGTTGATAATTCAAGACCACGCCAGAAGCGGTCAACGATAGATTGGTTGTATTCGAGGTGGTTGTTCCAGAATTGCATAGCAGCTTTCAGTAGTGTTTGGCGAGAGGTGTCCGGCTGCGGGATATTGCCCTGTCTGTCTCGGCGTATGTTGGTCTCATCGTGGAGGTGTGTCAGAATGAAACTCATAAACTCCTGAGCGTCTTGTTGCTGGGATCCACCGAACTGCTCGATGCTCCGACTTTGTTCGCATAGATGCCGCGAGTAGTCCTGTGGCATAGTCAGCTTCGTTCTTTTTTTTTTGTCATTCCTTAGCTTACCATGAGTGTTTGAGCCTTCATAACCTGGAACTTGCCCGAGTTCATCCAGTGGAACAGGTTCGAGATAATGCGAATCATGAGTTGAGGATGATCAATCTTTTCATCTTGTTTCCTCGGTGCCTTGTATTTGGCGGCCCATTCCGAATTTGCCAGCATCTTGCCGAAATCGGGTGAAGCAAGAAGACTCTGAAGTGTGCTGTTTGCATAGCACCAGTTATGGGGATTGTTAAGCCCTGTATAGAATCTGTTTGAATCACCCGTCGACTGGTGCTCCAAGGATTTCATGGTCGGTACTCTTGATGGTCGTGCTGGTACAACCGTGTTGTTGTTTCCGTAAAGCTCATTTTCATCACGCCCCTCAGTGAGGCCACTGTAGCTACGACGTGGAAGAGCGGGCGCTGGTCTTGTAGGCGGCGAAGGCAGGTCGGTATATAAATCTACCTTGTGGGATAGCCCGTAAACTGCTCGGTTTTGCGGCTTTTCCTCCGGGGAAACCATCGACTCCTGTTCCACGGACACTGGTGGGAACCTTCTCAGAAAGTCTTCAGTAGTGCGAGTAAAATTTGGCGACGATGCAGTTTGCATATCATCATCATGCTTGAGCGTTTCTTGCCAGACCTTGACTTCGTCCGGTTTGAGAGGTTTGACGATATATTTGGACCTCACCCGTTCGATACCTGATTGTCGGTTTCGATTTCGGTCAAGTTGCCCTGATCTGCTCACAGCTGAAGTGGTTGACCCTAGTGACGCCTGTCCCATCAGATCAATCCATGCATCTAGACCTCCTTTAAGCAACTTTGGCGTGTTTTTGAGTTCTTTCATATAGTTGAAATGGACCAGGGCGTGGTGAAGAGAGATGATCGCCATATCTTCTTGATTTCGTGGTTGTTGAGGAATATCTTGAGAGTCTTGGTCGTAGAGAACTACTAGATCGTAGATATTACGCTGCTCAAAAAGAGACTGCTCCTGGTTGGGTGACAGGATCAAACTTTCAGAGATATCGTCTGCGGAGGGGTTGTGTCTGAGTAAGATACTGGGCTCAATGCATATTGTTGACGATGACATGATGTGGCCATCGTTGAAATCATCACGCATTCGAACATCTATTATCAGAATACTGCCTTTGGCTTTCATGGCCTGGTACAACTCTTCGGGGGAGATGGTATGCCCATCAGGAATCTTGATAGAGCTCGTCAGATTGCTTGGAGGGGCGGGAGGGATGGAGTTGTTGGAATAGCTTTGCGTCGGAGCGAAATAGTCAGGTTGTGACTGTGATGAGGCGTTAGGCGTTCCAGGGCCTGAAGCTGTCGATGCCGTACGATACAAGCTACGTGGTGTATTTGATGGTGGTCTTGTTACTTCTCCTGAAATGCTTCCACGAGCAGGGCTGTAGATTGCATCGGGCATTTTTGGTAGAGTTGGCACACTTGTGTCGATACCAACCTTGGGAGGCCGAGGAGGAGGCATCTCTCGAGGGCCCATTGGTTTTGGAAGTGTTATTTGGTGCGTCTTTATACGAGGGTCTTGCCCAGGTGACGCTTGCGGGCCTCTTAGGTTGGCGAATCTGGCAGCAAGATCTTGGTTTACTGGCCTAGTTTCCTTTGGTACCCCGGGTTTAATGGCGTTCCCATGTAGAGATTGGGGCTTTGGTTGAATTGCTGGTTTTGATCGAGCGGGAGAACCATTGGTGACGGCCCCGTTGAAGCGAGGTTTTGACGACGACATGGTCCCATCCGCTGCCAACCCTGACGGGGTCTGGGGCCGACTCCCCCCTTGCGACGAGTTCGAACGGACTGTCCGTGGCTGTACACCTGATCGTTTGTTGTCTGCGATAATGTCTTGCTTAATCTTAGCATAGATGGGATCCTGCTGGCTAATCTTGGCGAGCAGGTTCGCATGAGCCCTCCTAAAGTCCGCGTGACTGGCCCTAAGATCATGATAGTCTGGGTGCTTGGGGAGGGTTTGTATTGAGACAATGGAGGCTCGTATGTATTCGTTCAGAGCAATGGCCGGTCTGCGAAACTCTCGAGACATCTCGGCTTGTCGAAAGGCCGTCTCGGCCATCTCGAGAAGCTTCCGGGCCGACGTATTAGGGCCTAGGTTTTGAGGAGGAGCAATAACATCGTCGATATGCGGAAATGAAGCCTTCGAGGGAGAGTCGCCCCCTCTATGGCCACCCGGTATCGAGCCATGACTGAATGCGCCTGAGTTTCCTAGAGAGTGCGATCCTGCTGTGGCTACGCTGCTTGCCCGCGAATGGCCTAGAGAAGCCATGATGGCTTACTCCCCCGGAGCGATTAATACTATAAGGACTCAGTCGAAGGGTTCGAGTTCGTAAATCGGACGTAGTCTCGGCGTCAAATCGTGGAAAAGAGGTTCGAGGTTGAGGTTGCAAGGTATATCTCGACAGCGACGCAACCTTGAGTGGCGGAGTATTAAGTAAGTGTCAACGTCTTGGCCTAGATTAGAAAGCGCGAACGTGCAGCATAACTCGAAAAGCCATTACACAAAGAAACGTGACAAAGGAATAGTTCTTTAGAAAACATCACCGAGGCGATGGAGGAGGGATATTCGAATCGCCTCGGAACAATGAAGTTGGTATAAAGGAGCCGCCTATGCCTATGGGCGAGTTGAATGCCTAGGTGCCATGAGGTGAGGTGTCGGCACCTAGGTATCTGTGGGGGAGGGTACCAATAAAGTCAGGGTCATCGGGTACCTTAGGGAGCTGGACCCGCCGCAAGGACACCTAAAGTATCTACTGTTTACCTCTTTTTAGTACCCCTCATGGGAGTTCTTTGTTTACCCAGCGCATGAGCCACCTCGAGTGTACTAAACCCATAACGACCCAAGTATGGAGAGGACATAGGTAGCTACGCCACAAATGAAATCCCTCCAGCTTCGTCATTTATGACCGTGCCCCCTGCCCGCGCTGACGAAAGGCCCTACGAGTATTTGGTCTTCAGTGGGGTCTAGGCTTCCTCGAAGTGAACTGCTGTGGAATCAATGTCCGCTCTCGTCCAATCCGCGCCGGTTGAGCTAGCTCTATGAGGGACCATTCTACGTAAGGCACCTGAACAGAGGCTGGGGTTCGTGATAGCCTGAACCAAGCTAGATGCTGAACCTCCATCAGTCATCAACAACCTCATCATATCGCATCGCATCGCATACCAGCCGCTCCGCCGTCACTTCCTGACATTTCGTATTGTCAAATCGAGAACCAGATTGCTCTATTACTAGTCGACTTTTGTTTCCTCAGCGTACATCTCCCTTGCTTATTGTCGGTGCCGAATTCAAGATGATGAGTTGGTGGTCCTCGTCCGCCAACACAGCCTTGGATGAGCAGGTCGAGAAGGCCACGAGCAGCAGCCTGTGCGTCATTATTCAGCTTCCAAAGTAACATCACCCGCTAACCTGGATTATCAGTGAAGATATTGCTCTTAACCTCGAGATTTCCGATGTCATTAGATCCAAGACGGTCGCGCCCAAAGAGGCGATGCGCTCCCTCAAGAAGCGCATCGGCAACAAGAATCCCAACACCCAACTGAGCGCTTTAAACGTACGGCTTCTACCATGTCAATAATGATCCATTCAAGCTGACTTTTTATCAGCTTACCGATACTTGTGTTAAAAATGGCGGATCGCACTTCCTTACGGAAGTCGCATCACGAGAGTTTATGGACAACCTCGTATCGCTTCTCCAAGCAGTCGGTGGTGCTGCTGTTAACGCTGACGTCAAATCAAAAATCCTCGAACTTATACAATCCTGGGCAGGTGCCACTGAGGGACGATATGAACTTTCATACATTGGCGAGGTGTACCGCACCTTGGAGCGCGACGGGTATCAATTCCCTCCCAAGACATCAGTGGCTAGCAGCATGATTGACAGTAGCGCGGTAAGCATAACCACCGAAGACCACCTTGACGACCAGCTAATAGTGTCTTAGCCACCTGAATGGACCGATTCCGACGTGTGTATGAGATGTCGAACGCCCTTCACATTCACAAACCGAAAGCATCATTGCCGAAACTGCGGCAACTGTTTCGACCAGCAATGTTCTGCCAAGGTGGTTGCGCTCCCCCATCTCGGCATCATGGCACCTGTGCGAGTCGATGATGGATGCTACGCGAAACTTACCAACAAGGGCCATAAACTCCCCAATCCGTCGCTCGATCGATCACCGACATACCCTCATAAGACGCGCAGTACTTCCGCTATGCAGCCCCGGAACGCTCGAGTTGACGATGGGTTTGATGAGGATTTGAAAAAAGCATTAGCAATGAGCTTGGAGGAAGTCACAACCCATTCCCACGGCTTTTCTGGGCCTGTTCAAGCTACCCATGCAACCGATGGCAATGCTTCGGCAGCTAAACAAGCAGAGGACGACGACGATGACCTTAAGGCCGCTATTGCTGCGTCCTTGGCCGATATGGAAGAGCAGAAAAAGAGGCACGCTACAGCGCTTAAGGAGCAAACTTCTAGCTCTGTTAATACGTCTTCCCCCGCCAACTTTGTTCTCCCTAAGAACGATTACGAATTAACTCCCGTGGAAGCGGAAAATATCAACTTGTTTGCAACATTGGTGGATCGCCTTCAGACCCAGCCCCCAGGAACTATTCTTCGCGAACCTCAGATTCAGGAGCTCTATGACAGCATCGGTACATTGAGACCCAAGCTCGCCAGAACTTACGGAGAGACCATGAGCAAGCATGGTGAGTAAACCATCCCTCACAAGCGCCAATAGCTAACACAAGCACAGACACACTCCTTGATCTCCATGCCAAGCTTTCAACCGTCGTTCGGTATTACGACCGTATGCTGGAAGATCGACTTTCTAAGGCATACAGCCAACAAAATCTCGGCGGATACAACCTACCTCCAACTCGCCAGCCGGCTGGCCCCTACCCTTCTATTTCTTCTCAAATTCCCAGCAATCCTGGTGTTGCAGAAAGCTTTTACACTGGGCAACAACAACCCAGTTACCAGGCTTCTCCTCAACACCAACATTACCAACAACCACCACATGCGACAACTCAGCCTCAGTATCCTCCATATGGATCTGCGCCAGAATCACAGCCCAGTCAATACCCTCCTCAACATGTCCAGGGAACTGATAGCTGGCAGAACAGGGCACCTTCAGCACCTCAAGACCAGTATCAGCAGCAGCCCCAGCAGTTATCACACGATCCAAACCAACAGGCGCAAAACGCCCAACCACCGCAGGCGCCTATCACCAACGACCCCAACGCCTCTTATTATTTCACACCCCAGCAGGCCCAGCAGGCTCCTCTTGGGCCATCTGCTCCAGGGGCAGCACCTGACGCTCCTCAGTCCCCGTATCCTAACTTGCAATCACCATCTCAATACCCTGGAGGGCCAGTGCCTGTCCCCTCACAGCCTACGCCAGGCCAAACACCCTCTCAGCCAACCCAGGCACCTCAACAACCTGTTCAGTCCCCCCAACTGCAGCACTCCCAACCACCGCAGCCCCAACAGCCTCAGATGGGCCAGCAAGCGCCTCCCCCACAGCAGCAAGCATACTGGCAGCCTTCTATGCCACAGCAGCACCAGCAGCCACCCGCAGCACCGCATAACTGGGCGTATGGTGGTTACACGCAAGATTCGTTCCCCTCGGTACCACAGCAGGAACCCGCGAAACAGCCTGTAAAGGAGGAGGCCCTGATTGAGTTTTGAATTTGTACCGAGTAATGGCCAGGGACTTGTATTCACTTACGCTTGACTGACTGCTTGTTAAGCAATGGCGTTTCAGTGGGATTGTTTGCCGTAGACGATCGGAAGAATGCATTTCAGGACAGATCAGGGACATGGTTCACGATCGGATGTACTGATAAATAATGAATTTGAACTGCGATACCATTATTTTTTTTTTGGTGCAACGTGCAACGGGTTCTTGTGAAATGAGTCTTTTTGGAAACATCGTGACAGAGCTACTGAGTCCACCCTTAAAGCCAACACATCAGAGATGAAAACAGTCCACTGTGCCAATTGCCTAGTGAGTAGCAGAAAATTTGCCCTCCTAAGTCCTGGGGTACACGAATAAGTAGTCTGAACTATGGTCTAAGGAGCATAAACTGACCTAATAATTTCGTGTCTTATGCTTCAAGCGGTCAATTTTTCTGACCCTGAGGATTGCCTAAGAAGAGGCCAGATCAGGTACAAAACGGGCAAATGTATACAATTGCGTATTCTTGTATGTGATTCTCGGCTTCCTAGGCAGTTGAATCGTTTTTCACTCAAATACGATTACAGTCACCAAGCCGAAGAACATACGCAACAGGTATTCAAGGCGACCCAACAGGCTGGCCACTCTACTTTGAATAACCTACAGAGGCTAATGCATCTCGGAAAACCCCCACGGATTGTCCAATCGGTGAGCGATGGACACGCACGCCGTTCACCAAGGAGGGCAGCTCCGCTTACGCAGTTGGGTCCGGCCTCCGGGGATCATGATCATGACACCGGCTTTGGCGGGCCACGTCGGAGGTGTTTTGAGTCATTACATCTGTGATCCAAGTTTTCCCTGTTATCGTACAACTTGTCGTTTGTCCATTGTGATTCATTGAAATAAAGACCGCTTTGTCTTTAAAACATTTTTCTTCCTTTGAATTATTTTGATTACTGTTCTAGACATTATCTTTTGAAATATCACTCAGACACATCTTACTATTTTAGAATATACATACATCATCATGGCGCCTACTATCCACCTCGTTCGTCACGCTCAAGGCTTCCACAACCTCTCTATCGAGAATGAGTCAATGCAAGACCCGGACCTGACTCCCCTTGGTGAGAAGCAGTGTGCTGCTCTGCGCGAAGAGTTCCCTCACCACGATAAGCTTACCAAGCTCTTTGCTTCGCCTATGCGTCGCACGGTTTACACCTGTCTTCACGCTTTCGGCACTGATGAGCTCAAGCCAATCGTTGCCATGCCCGTTTTCCAGGAGGTGTCTGCCAATCCTTGCGATACTGGATCTCCAGTTGCCAAAGTGCAGGCCGAGTTCGAGGGTATTGCTGATTACTCCCGGGTAGAGGAGACATGGACCGATAAGGGCCCCGGGAGCGAGTATGAGCCTACTGTTGAGAAGCTCACGGTCCGCGGTCTTAAAGCTAGAAGAGCTCTAAGGGACCTTGTGAGTGGTGATGAACACGTTGTTGTCGTGTCTCACGGAGGATTCCTGCACTTTTTGACCGATGACTGGTATGGTGTGCCTGAAGAAAGAGGTAAGTAACAACTGTATCTCACGCAGAGAAAGTATGGTTATCTGACATATTCTGTAGCTACTGGCTGGTCAAACTGCGAGTTTCGATCGTATCGGTTTGTTGATCCCACAGGCAAGGACGAGGATGCTGCGCTGCTTGAAACTGAAGAAAGTTGGCATCGACGTCGGGGCGATACAAAGCCTCCCACTGTAACAGAATTGCGCCAAGTAAAGCCTGTTGCCCAAAAGGCCATGGCTCCTTACTTGAACCTCCAGATGCCCAAATGATCTTCGGAGATTGGACATTTATGGCATTGAGTCCACAATAACCCACAGCACTTCTTCGATGTGGACGGAACAGTACTATCAGTGAATACATCCCTTCAGCTAGATACTTGTTTCCTTTGAAAGGATCAGAGAGATACCAATTAGAGACTTTAGATGTCGATTCAGCATTGGGTTTCTGTAGGCTCCTGGACAGTCTTTGGGTTAGCTTTAGGGTATGCCATACATTTCTATGTCCACGAGAAATAGTACTGGCAATGTTAGACAGACATAGACATAGAAATACAAAGGATTCTGTTGGGCTTTGCCTGATTCATTGAGCAGATGAACGAAGCGTTACTTATATTTCGTGAAACTGACACCCGTCCTCAAAGCTAATTCCATCATTAACTCAATCCACAAAAGTGTTAGAGCGACTCCCTGGTTCATCTAGATCCTTTCTTCCAAGAGCATCCATAGCTCGCTGAATTTCCTTCCAAGTTGTAGTGCATATCTCAAGTACCGTAATGCCCCAATCAGATTCTGATCCGGGGTCTGGTCGCAACTTACATCGACAAAAGCATTTCATGTGCGATGAATGCGCCTTAAGCAGCTCTCGAGCTGCGCAATCAACTGGACTCCCTGCCTCCTAGCCTAGGAGAGAACCATTGAAATAAGGCGGGCACTCCTTGAGCAGGCTTCGAAAGCGAAAGTACTGCTTCTTGTGAAAGTTCTCGCGACTCGAGTATACCACTCGAGCAAACAGTTCGAAAATGACGTCGGGCTGATTTCGGAACATTTGTGCTTTAGCATCTAAGAGTTCCTGTAGATCGAAAAACGTTTTGAAAGGCCTTAACAATAATTGGCCAGTAAATACTGAGGAAGTATGAGTTTTTGTGGGCGGTGACGATCGAGATTGGGAAACGATCCAAGTTTTTTGCTCAACAGTCCGTGATTCATGCTCGGGGATTTTGCTCCTGTTTGCAGTGGAGGCTCCAATTGTTGACACAGGCTTTGGTTCCCGGCGTGTGTGCTCTCGAACCGCCCTCCAGTCTATTTCTTCTGGCAACAGGGCATATCTGATACTGGATCCTGGTATGTGTGAAGAAGAGTGCGGTGAGGAACGCTGTAGTTGCGGGTCATACTCGTCCACCGACTGTGAGTTTCGACTCAATGTACGAAGAACACTTGATGGTGGCTGTTGGGGCTCTTGCCAAGTATCCTGTTTCAAAAGCTCCTCCAGAGCATCTTCGTCGGATTGTTTCAGATCGAATTCATCTATGTCATCCAAATGCGGTGAAGGCCCAGAGCCTCCTGTGGGAATAAATCCAATGAGACCCTCGAGACATTGATTTAACTCCAGATCATCGAAAAGGTCGTCGTCATAAGGGTCTTGGGGCTCTCGTGGAGAGGGGTCGAGCGAACTCTGAGAGAATTCCACGTTGTCTGTGTTTGTCGAACGAAGGATCTCATCCAATGTGAAATTGGACCCTGGAGATTCAGTAACGCCACTGTAGGTAAGTTCTTGGATTGATTTGTCGATATTGGGCCGTTGACGTTTGAAGTCATCCACGCAAGGGTCCTGGTCCTGTAGCAAGTGACGTTTTGATGATTGCGCCAGAGGACCGGGCCTGATCGACATGTATAAGCACTGGGAAAATGAAATCATACAGCCGGGTCGATCATTTAACTCACATTAATAACTGAAGATTGTCGTTTGGTTGCATATCGACTGGAGTCAGTCCCGCTTGTGAGAGAAACGGTGTAACGTCATTGGATTTATGTGCCAAAGCGTTGTGTCATAGCCATGTCCACAGGTGGATTGCTGAAATGTGGACTCTGAATAGATATAACGATCTCCCACAGGCCACAGCCTCTAGAGTGACGTTGTGAAGTGACGTTTTTTGCATAGAAGAATAAAGGGTCTAGGTGTTGGTTTTTCTCGAATCTCGATGCAATTGTGATCGTCAAATATGTTCATCGATAAGGCATCGCGCTTGCCTTTACAGCACTGTCAGCCACATCCACTGCGACTCTCGCAACGCACTTGCCACGGATGTGACGTGAACCGCCACTTTTCAAAACCGGTTTAATCCCATGCGGACGACTTGGTCCGAAGGAAGGAGTAGAGAGAGCAGAAGCAATTAGAAATTGCGGACCCGGGCCACAGGGTAGACGCAGTGAAAAAGATGCGATTCTTCATGATCTTTTGCATGCATTTCTTGAAAGCACCACATGTCCCAACTTTTGTAGAAATTGATGGCTTAGCCTTTTTGGGAAGGACAAGGCTGTCCATTGGTTCAAATAGCTATCCACGTCCAGGATTGGATCTCGTATCCATGTAGTTGCAGAGCTATCTTCAGGAACGAATCCAGCTTATGGGTTTGATTGCCGGCTGGATGCAAATGCGTACAAGCAAAATACCCCCAATATTGAAGAATTTGGGTCACGTTTCTAAATGGAAGCCATTGGGGGTGCCGGCAGTACTTGTTGGGGGCGGGTACAGAAAATCCACCAACCAGGGGTCCAACTATAAAGAAAAAAAAGCATTGCAGCGTAGTAGCAGTCATTTGAGTGTCAATCGCTGCATTTGAGCCTCCCGAACGAGCCTGGGCAGCACGCGTCAACCAACCTAGTACGATACATGTAGGTCTATGCCCACCCTCCAAGTCTGGACTCGGTGGGTCCACCCCTTAAAGAAGGTTTCCGGGAGACAGAATTGAATTGAAAGAATGTTTGCCGGATTACTACATTGGTTTTAGGATAACGTGGGGAGGGCTATTTTGGGGTTGAGAATGCTAAAAAAGTTGCTCAGTAAACAGCTTCGAATGTGTTTCAGCTTTTCGTAAGCTTAATCTCAATCTGTCCTCATGATCTGAGAATCAATTTCCCCTGTGTGGGCTTCAGCCCGTGGAAAGCGATTTATCCAAATGTCCCGTTGAATTAACCAGTGGATGAGACCCCCGAGGCCGGGGCTCCGCATCGTCCGCCTGACCTGCAAAGTGGGGTTGGGGTATTAGAAGTAAAGTGCCCCGCTAAATGGATTGCAGAAGCCGACTGAAAATCAAACCTGCTTTTGAATTTGACCCGGCGATCGATCTCCCCGGGACTGCAAAGTGGTCCTTGTCGAGGCACAGCAACACAACATCCAAGCCTAGCAAGCCTGGGTACCTAGCAAGCATCCCCAACACCCCGCCCTCCTTCCCTATCCGGTTCTGGGCGTGGGCGTTAGACTGAGACTGACTGTTTACACAGTCGTCAGCATTGCACACACATCGTTCCTGCCCTGCACATGTCAGTTTCTGTTTGACTCCAGCCGTTTGGGCGCCGGTCTCCCGCCCTGTCCTTCCCCCGTGTCTAACTCACAATGGCATCCCGAGGCTCCCTCCGCTCTACCCTCCGCTCTTTCCCCCACCCTTCCCCTTGTTCCCCCTCGATCCTCAAGCATTTATCAAGGCCGACTTCCTCCCTCAATCGTCTACCTTCTTCATCTTCCATTCTCCATTCACCATCATCTATCAAGCATACTACCCATCCCTCCATCTTTATATATACAAACAACAATCTAGCTCCTTGGCTACCAACTCTATTACAACTTAGTAGAGCTCAACGACACTCAACCTCTTCGCCACATCCTTTACTTTGCTAGGGACGGCTCCCTTGCCACGATATCACAAACCACAAACTCACAAACACTTTGTCAACATTGTGTGCAAGGATGCAATTCTCAACAACCAACGCACCCCATTGTCTGGTGCAAGATAGTTTCGACGACATAAACCCCAAGGACTTCCTCAGACAAGAATTCAAGTCTAAGCGACCACGAACTGCCGATATCCTTCTCGAGGAGCTACCACAGGGTCTTGTTCAGGATGCTGAAGCAACAGATGTCACAGGAGATTTCTTCTCAGCCAAGTCTGAGTTAGAGTCAGACCACGAGGAACAACTCCCCGACGGAATCGAAGAGACCGAGGAAGAGAGACAGAAGCACTGGTTCGTCGGTAGCATCGACCAAGGCACAACATCAACCCGATTCCTCATCTTCAACGGACATGGTGAACCTGTCGCCAGTCATCAGATGGAATTCGAGAACCTTTACCCCAGCTCTGGATGGCATGAGCATGACCCTATGACCCTTCTTGAATCTGCCGAGATTTGCATCGAGAAGGCAACTGAGAAATTCTGCGCCCAAGGACACAGTGTCGAGGAAATTCGCTCTATTGGTATCACAAATCAGCGTGAAACCACCGTTCTTTGGGACAACACCACTGGCGAGCCCCTTTACAATGCTGTTGTTTGGCCTGACACCCGTACTTCTGCCCTCGTCCGTGACCTCAAGAACAAGCCTGGTGCCGACAAGCTCCAGGAATCTTGCGGCCTGCCATTGTCTACCTACCCTTCAAGTGTGAAGCTCCTTTGGGTCCTTCAGAATGTGGAATCTGTTCGGGAGGCCTACGAGGATTGCCGACTATCATTTGGTACTGTCGACTCATGGCTCATCTACAAGCTCAACGGTGGGCACGCACGTGAGGGTGGACCCATCTTTGTCACCGATGCCACCAACGCCAGCCGTACCATGTTCATGAACCTGAAGACCCTCGATTATGATGATGATCTTCTCAAGTTCTTTGATGTTGACCGCACCAAGGTCAGCCTACCCAAGATTGTTCCCTCTTCCCACCCCACTGCCTATGGTACTCTCTGCAAGGGACCACTCAAGGGTATCTCTATTGCTGGCTGTTTGGGTGACCAATCTTCTGCCCTCGTTGGCCAGTGTGGCTTCAAGCCCGGCCAGGCCAAGAACACCTATGGTACTGGCTGCTTCCTCCTTTACAACGTTGGCAGCGAACCTGTCATTTCCAAGACCGGCCTGCTCGCCACTGTTGCATACGACTTTGGCAAGGGCCGCAAGCCTGTCTACGCTCTTGAGGGTAGCATTGCTGTTGCTGGCTCTGGTGTCAAGTTCCTCGAGAACAACTTGGGCATTATCAAGAACTCTGCTGAAGTCGATACTGTTGCCCGATCTGTTCCTGACAACGGTGGTGTCACATTCGTGACTGCCTTTAGCGGCCTCTTCGCCCCCTACTGGATTGATGACGCCAAGGGTACTCTCTTCGGTGTCACCCAACACACCAACAAGGGTCATATTGTGCGAGCTACTCTCGAAGCTACTTGCCACCAGACAGCAGCCATTCTGGACGCTATGGCAGCTGACTCGGGCCACGCCCTCGACATCCTGGCAGTGGATGGCGGTCTATCTAACTCGGACCTCTGCATGCAAACACAGGCCGATATCAGCGGAGTTCCTGTCGATCGCCCGGCCATGCGCGAGACTACTGCACTAGGCGCTGCTATTGCTGCGGGTCTTGCCACTGGAGTATGGAACGAGCTTGAGGAGCTTCACGAAGTGAACCGAAAGGACCGCAAGGTCTTCTACCCCGAGGCTGACCCCAAGACTGTTCGTCGATCCCGACGAAGATGGGAGCGAGCTGTCGAAATGAGCCGGGGTTGGTTGCAGGAGGATGAGGATGATGAATAAAATAAGGCGAGGACGGATTAGACAAAAGTTTGTAAACTTTTTGTCACATAATGACTGGTTTACTGGCGTTCAACTGGCATAGCGCATCATGAGCATAGGAGCTCGGCATCTGATATTCTGGGATTTTTAGTATAGCTTAAAAAGCTTCCATATAGTGCATAATACCATAACGATTTAAATTAAGCCTTTTTCAAATTACTGAATCGTGAGAGTTGTGATTTTGATAGTTAAGAATTTTGTTTATCTGAAGTATTTGATGCAGCCTGACCGCCTTGGGACTAGGCTAGTGACTAGAGTAGTCACTTGGTTTCAACATCTATGGCTCTCGGAAGACTAAAAAGACCACATACTACAATTGAGAATGCCATACATGTTGCTAATTAAAGAGTCAACAAAGCGATCATTGAGCATGCAATTGTGATCTATGGTGTTGAACAATGTTAGTAGCATGGAGAATTTGTCTCTTAGATTAACTAGTGGGTATACAGGCACAATGCCAAAACCGTCCAACCAGGTCATACTTCTACAAGACAACTGTTCTAGGGGTGTGTCCTATGTTGCGGAATGTGACAAATGGTATAGTAATCAAAAAGACAAAGGAGTGAAAACTGGAACGCAAGAGGGGAAAAGACTTAGGGGTGGCGAGTTGTCAGAAACCAGACAAAGCAAAGTAAAGTCAAGCGGGATACTCAACGTCGTGCTTTTCGGAATGCCTTGATGGGTTAGTTGGATTCGTAAGGCGACAGCAATGCAATCCATGCCGTGCCATGTCGCTACAGCACTCGCTAAGGTGAGACACCTTCTATGGGAGATTCTAGCCCTGGTCTTAATTTAGATATTCTAGGATTAACAAGACATCACGCGGAAAGAAAGAAAAAGTTGAGGTGGGCCTATCCCCTAATGCCGGAAATCCCAAGAGCAAAGTACTTGTTCGGATCCGAGACAAAGAGTATGGGGGCATGGGCCTTAGGCCAAGGGAGCATGTTGATCCTCGTGAGCAGCAAAAAATCAATCTAAGACATGTTGTGGGATTGATTGATTCTTGTGTGGGTTCTGTTTAGCTTGCCTGAGCTTGTGCTTAAGCGAACGGAGCAGAGCCGCAA